ATATGGAAGTGTTTTGAAATGCTTTTTGAAGATGCATTTACATTTACATGATAGATATTTTGGACAGAATAAATAAATCATTCATACTGGTGCTGTGCTCAAAGAAAAAAAAACCCTGAGTCACGGTTTAAAAAAAAAAAGGAAGGAGTAAATGTTGTGGATGTGGAAGCTTTGAAAAACCACTGAATATGTTTGTTCCATAAAATCCTTGTGAAACTTTATGCAGCCTCATGCTCATTAGAGACCCTGTTTCCCTGTTTCATTAAATGCCAGTTCTTTGGAGGAAAGTGCACAGAATTAGATTTTAATAAGACGCCTCTATTCCCCAGGAATAAAGTTATACTGTGAAGTGGAATTTCATGCTAGTGCCAGAACAAATTAGCGCAAACATTGTATCATCCATACAAAATAAGCACTAACGTCTCTGTTAGCATGCTAATGGTTGTTTTGGATTTTGCTGTGGCATTTAATTGTGTTCGTCTATGTACAGTTGAATTAATGTGCAATATGCAGTGTGCCTGCATAATGGCCAATTACAACTCCTTTGTAAGTGTAAAAGTACACTCAGAGGAATAGTAAAACTGCTACTACAAAGGCCAAGGCTGAGGTTGTGTTAACTGCTCAGTAATGTTCTCCTCCTAATTAATTGGCGACAACAAAGGGAAACTTCAGTATCATCCTTCAGAATAGTTTGGCTGATGACAATAAACAGTCATTTTAACCTGGAACCTTTAAAACAAGGCTTACAAGGTTGACAAAGTCATATGCTTACATTGATGCATTTGATGATAAGTAGTATTTAGTCTCTAATGAATATGCTCCTAGCCTCCCATAAGAGTTTTCTGTTGCTATTTTTAAGAATTTGTGCAATTTCAATGGAGTAGCTTTATTTTCCCTCTGCAGACATAACTCTGTCTCAACGATCATATTTTTCTTTTGATTTTCAAACTTAACTATCACTGCAGCAGCTTATTGTTGACTATATTTTTGAAACCAGTCAGAAAGTTCTCAGATGAATTTGTCAAAACGGATTTGTCTCTTTCATTATTCTCTTGTAACTGAGTAGGATTTTTCTCTGACTTTGCCCATAACTCATTCTGGTCATTTCAACACTTGTTCTGTCATCCTTGCCCACTGGTGCTGCTTAGAAAAATTAGTAAATGGTTTGTATTTCTAGTTTCAAGGGCATTGTCTTTAAAGGTACAGTGTGTAGAATTTAGTGATATCTAGTGTTGAAGTTGTATATTGCAGCTGAACACTCCTCACCTCACCCTCTCCTTCCAAACATGAAAAAGAACCTGTGGTAGCTTCAGTTGTCATAAAAACTCAAAAGGTGTTTAGTTTGTCCAGTCTGTAAAAAACATGGCGGCCTCCATAGAGAGGGTCCCCTTGATGTTAATATAAAGTATTTGAATGTAAAGGGCATTTTCTGGGGTAAACAAAACTACAATTCATACAATTTAGATGAAATAAACTAGTGAAAACATAATGAGAATTATTCTGCATTAAATTTCTGCCAATAGTTCCCTTTCACCTAAATCTTACACACTGGACCTTTAATATAAGCTAGAGCCAGTGAAGCTGTAACGAGTGTCTATTGTGGGGGTTGTTGGCAGCGAGAGTGGCCAGTCTTATATTATAGCTTATAATAACCATAATTAATTATAGATGATAAGTGCTTCTTCATACATCAGGTAGTTCGTTTTAAACTAGCATGTCATGTAAGTGCTGGGCACACGTGTCTTTGTTTCAATGTGTTCATGCTTGTCTGCCTCATATTGTGCATTGCTTGACATTCCTGAAATAAGAGTGATGCATATACCCCTCTTCCTGTGTGTGTGTGTGTGTGTGTGTGTGTGTGTGTGTGTGTGTGTGTGTGTGTGTGTGTGTACATGTGCGTACATGTGCATGTCCGCGCATGTGATTGTGTGTGTAACAGCGTGTGCAGCAGCAGCAGCATTTGCAGTGCGTCAATGCTGCCGTCTCTCTGTAGTGCAGAATTGAGCCCATCTCTAGGGTGCAGCTCAAATTGATTAAATTTGCCAGGTAGGTTGAGGGGCTGACTAGAGGCTCCAAGCAATTATTTGACTGTGGCTAAACCTGGTGTGAAGAACAGATTCTCTTGTTCTCTAATGCTGCCGTTTTGTATTAAAGTAAAGATCTGTTGTAAAGAAGAAGTATAGCTCACAGCTATGGAGAAACACACACACACACAATTAAGACCAAATATTGAAGTTCTCTTTATGACAGTCGTGTGGCCGTAAAGGAATGAACAACAATCAGATGTCTTTCCCTATGTGATTACACCCCCACCCTGAGCCTGGACTGTTGACATGAAGAGTGTTGTGTTCATGGATTCACACTGTTGTTGCCAGATTCTAATCTCAATCATCAGTTCAGGCTATTGTTCAGGAATCATCTGTCCTGTTCTCGTTAGTTTGTCCCCACTCAGATTTCGGTTCTTGGTTGAGAAGGTTGGAATCTGACATTGTCAGTACCCTTTGTCTCGAGGTTAGCCTTTCAAGATGTTTTTCTGCTCTCCACAGTTGTAAAGAGTGGTCGTCTGAGTTACCTTAGCCTTTCTGTGAGCTCCCACCGGTCCGGTCATCCTGCCCTGACCTCTCTCAACAACTCGCATCACTGGTTGTTTTTTGTTTTCGGCACATTTCGAGACTGTGGTGCGTGAGCATCCCAGGAGCTCAGCAGTTTCAGAAACGTTCAAACCAGCAGCCCGTCTGGCACCAACAATCAGGTCAAAGTCACTGAGATCACTTTTTCTATTTATGTTTTTCATGCATGCATGCTCAAGAAAACAAAAACTTTTAAGTGGCTGTGCATTCTAAGCCAAAGTGCACTTTTGTTCTTTTCATCTAGTTTCATTGGAAGGATTTCTGAGGCAATTGAAAGCATCTAGTATTTCTTAAGGAAAACCAAAGAAAAACCCTAAAAATTTAAAATATTTCCAAAATTGGCCTTGAATCATTTTGTTATCACTCTGGTTTATATTGGCTCCTAATGTTCAGGCCTCCACATTGAGAACCTCTGTTTTAAAACATCAATACAATATCTCTTTTCATATTCAATGTCTCACACATGCTTGTTCTTATGGCACAATTTGGAGTCTCCTTGTTTCCGGAGGACAGCTAACAGTCTACTGAGCTGAAAGAATTCCTGTGATTCAGACGTTATGATTGCAGGAAGTCACATCTGTGCGGTCCGTGGTGGGAACAGCTGGCCAGACTCACACTAAGGTTGTGGCCATTAGCTCTCCACAAACAGACCTCCCAGGAGGATCTGGGAAAGATGGCCAGCAGGCAGAAAAGCTAACATTTAATTGCACTAAAAATGGCCGCTAAAATCTCCCCAATGGGAAAACTGGTTGTCCTGGTGAGATGAGGAGCTGAGGAGGTTTGAGGTCTTGACAGGGACAATTTAGAAAAAGGGACTTGAAAAGGTGCTGATGTCCTGACAGGCGTCTGGACAAAAAGGGCAGTTATCAACAGATCAGAAAGGCAGACGGACATATTGACTGGCAGACGAGACACCAACATGATCAATTGTCTGATGAAGTACCACACAGACAAAATCTAAACACAGGCTGTCTACCTGCTCCAGGTTCCATACCTTGCAGTGCAGGTCCTCATGTAGGGTATTCAGCACTCTATCAACCTGGCAATATCCACGCTCGCAGACGAGTTAAAGTAGTAATGATTGTTCTGCTGCTGAGCATATTGACTTTTTTTTTCCATCTGCTCCATTGAAGCTTTTCCTTATTATTCAGGTCTCAGCTCAAGGTTTGTGTTTTCCTCTCTCTGTGTCTCTGAGCATTTTTAAGTAATTCCAACTTTTTGTAAAAACATCTTCTTTGCAACTTCTAGTCACTGATGCAGAATAAAGAAGCAGTGACTGAGCCAGTGTCCTGCTTAACATTTGATAAAGATTTAGGAAGCACATTTGGGACGAGGGCCTAAACAATTTTTTGTGCAGCCCTGGACAAAGAATGGGGATCCAGAATTGTTTTTAGCACTTTCTCTAACATTGCATGATTTTATTTTCCATGAAATAAATCATGGATCCAGGTGAAATAAAAATTGACACGTATAAGGGACTGATATTTATTCTGATCGGGATCTAGCAGATGTAAGTGGTTCCATTGTTCGGTAGATTTTTAGGGCTACAGACCTGTAGTTGAGATAAAGTGAGTTTAAAAGGGAATCAACTGTTTCCATGTATCTTCAGTAGTTAAGAACCATGTCCAAACAAACATAACAGATTCGGTGCAGAATTAAACGGACTGTTGGGCCTTGGCCTTTTTTCATTGGTTAAGTATTGATGATTTCATAAATGCAAATATTAATTAGCTGCCAGTCCTAATTTTAGACAAAGGTTATTTGATTTTCCATTTTCCTTTCTCAGTCTTCTCTCTAAGCATGCAAACTTGTGAAAATTGATCATTTAGATGTTTAACGAGGCATATTAGTATTGTGATATGTTTTTGTAAACGTTTCAAATTAATTAAAGCAATATGTCTGCTTTATTAATACACATTAAATTCAAAGGTTCAAAACTATGCTTAATGATTTTAATAAAGTCATATGTTAATTATTGCTCACTCTGGGGGTTGAGAAAAAGTATTTAGGGGGTTGTTACAGCTAAGAATTTTGAGCTCATGTGGAATATTTATCATGTTTGCTTCTTTGCTTCCTGCAAATTCAATGATTTTGCAGCTCAAAGAGGTTTCTCCTCTCTGCTCTCGTTCCATATGTGCACTGTGCACTCACAGATGCTGACTTATTTTCTTGCTTCCGCCATGACTTTCCCTGTCCTCTCCCCTCTCTTATTTTCTTATACAGATGCTTTTTGTCAGACCTTTGTCGACACCCTGGAGAGCACACCTGGTCTGCGCAACATTTGGAGCACGTTCAAGCCGTTATTACAAGGCAAAGTCCTCTACACACCCGACACACCTGCCGCTCGCCTCATGGTGAACAAAGTAAGTTTACAGAGGAAAATGCACGACGTTGACAAGCGGAATATGTGTCTAACTTGCATTTTTACTGAAAGCTACAAAGAAAATGGTTTGTTTAATTAAGAGATGAGTATGTGTATATATCTGAATCCTTTCATTACATTGCCAGCGTGAGTGGGGCCTCCAGGGTAGGAGTGAATAACGCTGGATGTCACACAACGTTAATACCTGGGGAAGAAAAGAAAAATAACACAATAGTTCATCAGCAGGCCTGTTCAGAGAATGCAATAAAGTAATGCGTTATCATGACATGACATTTCTCTGTGATATTAGCATCAATGCGATCACTGCATGAGCAAAACAAACAATAGGCAGGGGGGCGAGGGTTTTGCATTTCGAATATATTATGAGTGTGAATAAATTCTGCTGACTTCACAGCAAGTGGCCCGATGTCTGGCGCAGGAGGCCCCTCCTCACACCAGACACAGTCGTATTGTTTACAAGTCAGTGTTCGGGGCTAAATAACCCCATTTACATTTGCTTCCATGGGGGGTGACAGTGTGACAATGTGATGAGTTCCTCCAGGGATTAGCTAGTGTGCAGATGTGAAGTACTGTCATGTCTGGAGTGGCTCAGAGCAAACAGGAATGGCTCAGGGAAAGGTGAGACGATTTATTAAATACCGTTTTCCTTTTTGTTTCAGGCAAATGGCACATTCAACGCCCTGGCTATGTTGAAGGAGCTGGCTGATTCGTGGGATGAGCTTGGGCCACGCGTCTGGGATTTCTTTCAAAATAGCTCTCAAGTGAATGCAATACGGGTATGACTCTACACCGAGATATAAAATGACCTGAATCACAGCAACGTTTTATTCAGAAACCTTTGTCTCACCCTTCATTTTTAATTTGACTTGTTTGTCAGAATTGTATTTAATTCTCTCATCTTTACAAGTTTCCATTATGAGTTATGTAGTTTGGCTTAATTTTAACATCAATTTTTGTTTCACATCAATCTCCACCGTACAAACTTCAAGGAATAGTCAGATGGTTTAGGAAATATTTTTATTTTCTTTCCTGCCTTACTTTCCTCAGTTAGATCAATGCCAGCCGTTATAAATACAAAGGTAAAGTCAGGAGACCATTAACTGAGCATAAAAAGGAAAACAGATTGCCTGACTCTTCCCTAAGATACAACCTGGTCCAACCAATTAACTGTAACATTAATTAGTCTTTCTTTTATTCACACAGAAAGTGCAAGTGTAAAATCAACCACACATGGTTGTACAAAGGGTTATGTGCTGGACCTCTTTTTTCTGGTTGCTTGCAATAACCTCTTGTAGCCTCTGCTAGTTGCCTGGCAACCCTACAGTGACACAAAGACTTCATCATTCTGAATGATTATTGCCATTTTTTTTTCTTTTTATTCCTCCTTTTTTAATTTACATAGACTGACCCCACCACATGAACTTGTTTTCTTTTCTTTATGTCTTTACTCGACGTGCTTGTTGCACACAGATGTAAAATTATTCTGCGTTTTCAAAGGTCCATTGAAAATCAATACAAAATGAAATAATGTCTTATAATATACACTGAGAATACACATTTCATGTATAACAATTTGTTGCACCTTCCTTTAGATATGGTAATTGGAGGGGGGAAGTAATTATGGATAAGTGCAGGATAATTTTCATCCTGGCAGAAAGGATTATCTATAGAGGTAGAGGACATGGTCTCTCCCTGCCTCCTTTTCTCCCTCTCCTCGCCTTTTTCTGTATTTCCTTGACACTGACATTACTCCAGTGTCACTCCAAATGAGCTTATAGGCAGCTGGGGGGAAGCAGACATTGGGAGCTCCATATAGCCAGGGTATTCATTACCCTAGCCCTAACCTTTACACAAATGGGCCCGCAATCCTCCTTTGTCTTCATTTTCTCGCAGACCCACTCCCGTTCCCTCCACCTCTCGCTATGACGCTGGTGGCTTCTGAGGTTTGTCATCTTCGGAGGTCCTTGAAGGTCGCAGACACGTTTTACGTTGATGGACCAATTACCATCACCACCACCACCACTACATTTGATAGAGGAGAGAAGATTTAGGGTGCAGAGCTGAAGAGAAGGACAAGCTGTACTGTAGCACATTCCCAGAGATGGCGCTTACACAGTGTTTACATGTTAAAGTTGTAAACATCTTAAAACAGCTGTCATGGGGAATTTGCCACATGAATCTGATTTATTCTCTTCATAAAGGGATACATTAAATTTATCCATGACAAACAGAATTCCATGTGACACATGACCAACAAGGTAAAATGGCATTTCTACAGCTCATTGGCTCAAATGCCACTGATCATTAGGCCACGTGAAATTCTAGTTGAATGGTGTCAAACACTGACGTAATTGCCAATGTCTACAAAAAAGTATCTCAACCTCTGAAGCAGATAGAGACATGAAATTTAAAAAAAAAACATTTGATAGCTCAAACATTTGGCTGTCATTTTAAATCATTGACTTTTACCTCATCTTTGTGTACAATTTTTAAAAGTAACAACGAAGCACAGATCCTCCCTTTTCTTTCTCCTCCTCAAACGTGTCTCTCACCGACCGAGTCTTGATCAGCAGGTCAGCAGGAACATATTGTTTTCTCCAGTGAAACTCAGCGTGCTTTCCCCACGCTGAGATCGTCAGCCATGTTTGAAATTCAGCTTTTTCAAGACTAAGAGTGCTAGAAAACAAAAATAAATTCCCATGATGCACTTCTCCTTTCCCATGATTATTTATTTGAATCATGTTACGACCTGAGCTCGTTGAGGGGACAGGTAGCACATTACACCAGAGTGGAATTGGCAGTTAAATTAAAGTTATTTATTTACAGAGTTCTTGCATAGAGTTCTTCAATGACCAGGCTGTATATCAGTCACATTTCTTGAAAACAATGAAATCATAGAAAACAAAGTCTAAGTTGGTTAAAAGTTTTAGTCTGTTTTCCATCTCATGTCTTATTTTTTGATGGCTGGTGTCTTTATTTTAGCACCCACCAAAATGGATATGCTGATTCTTTTTTTTTAAAGGTCATACGCTGCATCGTGATTGCTTAATTTGACACTTTGTCCCAAGGTTAAGTAGAATCTCATCACACGTGTTGACACTGAAATGCCACTGAGCGCACTGTCCAGAATATATCTGTATCCCCACTCTGACTTTCACACTTTAAAGGTCCAAATCTGGATTGACGTGCAGCGCCCTTTCCTCTCCAAAAGTCACATAACACATGGTCCACACGCACATGCAAGTACACTGAACTGGAATGCAGACCAATTAGACTCTATTATAATATGGATATTATAGCAGTAAGGGTTCTGTTCAAATATTAGAAATCATATTGAATGAACTGATTTAAATAACGCATGATCTCAGTGGGTTTCACTTCTATCTCTTCTTTCTCTGTGTACGTGACAGGTAAATTATCAGTGTTATGCTTCATATTAGTTTATGTAGTAACACTGTCATTACAGGAGCAGTGTCAAATTATTACTGGGGTGTTAATTTCACAGCAGCATCCCGGAGCCTGAAGTACAACAGTGCCATCTATCTCAACCCTGCTAATTAATCCTGGGGAAAAAATAAATGTCAGCAGCAGCAAAGAGCGATGCTGACCTCCCACACTTGTTCCTCTATAATAAGACACTGGATTTAAACACGTTGGGACTTATTCATACTACACTCACACTGCACATTTCACCAGTAACTATAATTAAAACCCTCTTCCCCTCTAAATTAGGATCTGCTGGCGAACCCAGTGTTTGCTGCTGCCCTCAACCAGCGTCTCAGTGGCACAGGATGGACGGCCGAGCTGCTGGCCAACTTCCTGTACAATGGGCCCCCGGAGGATCGTCCACCTGGTATGCCCCTCACCGACTGGCGGGATGCTTACAACGCCACCACTCAGATCCTGAAGCTGCTCTCCAACTTCCTTGGCGTATGTGTTTATTATATTTTTTTATCTTTAAAAAAAAGTACTTAATTTATTACTCTACATTATTACTTTTTCTGTAAAATGAGACATTTAATTTAAAAATCAAGCTCTTTTTTCATATTAAGGACTTAAAACAATTCAAATTACTTTGCTTACCCTTACTTGTTTAGCTACTTACTTGTGTTATTTACTTAATGTAACTCATATATGGTTTCTTTCCTCTCTCTGGACTTCAAATTGCCCAACAAACAGCTAGTTTGGGTAAAAATAAGTTCTGATGTGTCAGTATTCTTTCCTTGGTAGTTTGCAGTGTCAGATCTTTTACTTACAGATGTGAGACAATGATCTGATAAAAGGTCTATGACATAATTACAGCACTTTAATTTACTCCTGTAATCCTCTGGTCACAACTGTCACACCACTCTGGTGAAACACCAGGGGTGCTACCGAGTGTAGAAGGGATGTTTTGCATCTAAGACACATGTCCAAGTGTTTAATCTCTATCGTCCAAACAGAGCGGTGACTCAAAGTAGTACCCCCCCACAGTTCACATTAATATATTGATGTGTATTGTAGCCTCTATGTTGTGTGATGAAGCCTACACATAATGTCACAGTCACATACACATTGTGGCCAATTAAATACATTCATGCTATTGTGTATTTTCTGCATTACTTGGATGCATAGCAGGATTGGGATGGATAATACACAACCTTTACCATGGTTTCCTCTTGTCTGGTTCAGTATTGACAATGCAATGTACAAGGTGCAAAATCTGAAAGGAAAATAATGGCTGATATACACATTAAGATGTCATTATCAAACCATTATGACCAAGACATGTAACTGAGACTTGATATTTTACCTTTTAACCATAGACTTAAAAAAAAAAGGAAAACACAAATACAACCACATATATAGAACTTGAGAAGTTAAAGGAAAAAAATATAAATAAGAAATTCTGCATTGTTTATTCTGTAAAATAAAAGTTTCTTATTTCGGCACCTGGCGGCAAACATGCTGAACCTTTAAGAGGTGATTATGAAGTGAACATGACTGCAGCAGAAGAATATTTCACTCACACTCATGTCATTTCTGAAAAAACAAATGTTCTGTACTGGATGATGAAACATGACTCCTGAAGTCTCTCCTCCAAGAGCAGATTACATTGATTTGTGGCGTCTTCTGTGCAGAACGGATTACTCGCACTCACACAGCCTTTTGACTGGTACTAATTTATCATATGTTCATAATGTGCTGAGGATCCACTATCATCACATCTCTATCAGCAGCACCAGTGAAGACTCGACGAGCATGACGCTACCGGGGCTGCACAACTGAGCATGTTCCCCTTCAACGTTTCTCAGAATTAGGCCAAGACAGGATTGTGGAGTTATCATTGGGGCCAGTTCCTCAGTCTAGAGCTGGAGTCAGATTGTTAATGCACAATAGTGTTACAGACAAAACAGAAAAATGCATAAACATGCATTTTCTATCTCTTCAATGAGCAGCCTGGCTGGCAGGGCTTGTAGCAACAAAGAACAGCGCTGATATTCAAAAACACAAAGCAGATTAAACATAGATAGCAAACAGTCTTGTAGGGCACTTGTAGGAGACGGCAATATCTTTACTATCTTTTGAAATGCCTGAAAGAAAAACAAGTTTCCTACCGGGAATCTAGAATAGAGATTTATTATGATTTGATCAGATGTGATGGATAGCATGTAACTCCTGTCACCTGGTTTATGCAGTACTTTTTTCTTGCATGTTTCTTCCATGTTCTCGATTTCACTCAACACCAAACTCCCCCTGCTGTGACATCCGCTCTGGTGTGTGCAGAGCAAAGGCTGCTATGATAGTTTCCTTCCCACCATAGCTTGATATAGAATACAGAATAGAGAATCCTGGGGGAGAAATGATAAAACTATTGCAACAGTGAGATGTGTGGACAGCTGTCAGGTGCAACTGCCTCCCAGGATGGCTAGCTCATTATCGTCTCATGAAACAGAGGGACAAGGCTACAGAACGAGGAGTGCTAGCAAGGCTGTATCTCATTTGCTTGTCTCTGCTGAGGCCCAAAACATTTCCCACCCCCTGGCAGCTTCAGATAATTTGGAAATACACACTGCATGGATAAATAAATAGTTGAGTGATACTTTTGGCTAAATATCCATCTGCCACTGAATTGCTGCCTGGCTCATTTCTACTTTTGTGGATACTAAAAAAGCAAATGATTTCATGTAAAAGAAAAGTTTATAGTAAAGTTCTGTGTTTGTCGACAGTGTTTAGACCTGAATAAGTTTGAGGCTGTTCCCACCGAAGGCCATCTGGTGAGCAAAGCACTGGAGCTTCTGAAGAACGACACGTACTGGGCCAGTGTCGTCTTTGAAAACCTGCAGCCCAACTCCAGCCAGCCCCCTCCTTATGTCAAATACAAAATCCGCATGGACGTTGATGAAGTAGAGCGCACCAACAAAGTAAAGGAAAGGTATGTGGACACAGCTCGGAAGCACGTACGGGACTTTAATCACAGAAATGAAAATGATACATTTACTTTATGCAATGTGTTTATGCCATAGATATGGTTGAAGGAATATTTGGATATTTTGGGAAAGGTCCTTAGTTGTTTTCTGCAAAGATTAAAAGAAGGCTCATGTTTGCACACTTAATATTCGGGTATTGCCAGGAGAGGTAAATTAGCTTAGCACAAAACTGATGAGGAGGAAATTTCCATCCTAGCTCTCTCCCCGAAGGTATCCTGTCAATCATTAAACTACTTCCTGTGCCTCTGGCTCCATTTTTGCCACAAAAGTAATTTTCATCTTCTCGTCTAATCCAAAATATATTTGCTGGAAGGATGCATTCAATACATGTGCAGTGGATTGGTGTCCATTTATTCTGAGCATGTGCTCTACAAATCAGATCAAAACGGCAACATCCCTCCCAGAAGTAAAAGCCCGGTTTTGTCTCTTATTCTTGTTTTGATATAAAGATAAATTGAAGAGCATCCATTCCAGTGTCCATTTTCATAATTGCACTCAGTACTCAGTGGAGCGCAGAGATTGTTTGCACACACAGAACAAATGTCTGGGTACATAGATGTCCTTATACAGCCTCATGTAGACCCTTACATCATTCAGATTTAGTGGAGCCTTATGGACCTTTTAACACTGGCTTACCTCTTGGCAAGAAAGGCAATGAACTCAAATAGTTAAACATACAGGTTATGTCTCATATTTATTTATTACCTTTTCAATGTGTAGTCATGACACCGAAAATTATGTTATTTATACAGGAGATGAGATTATGTTAACAGGGTTCTGCTGGCCACCATAGTATATATTGTATATTATACAACTTATAAGAAAAGTCATGATGCTCAACAGTATTTCTGACTCATTTTCTTGTGAGTAGTCTTTGCCTCTGACTCTCTCTGGTTGTAGTTTCTTTGCCCTTTGCTAAGACAGATCGCAATGTGTCTGCTTTTAATAAGGTTATGGTCTCCTGGGGCCCGGGACAATTCCTTTAACGACCTGCGCTATATATGGGGAGGCTTCGCCTACCTGCAGGATATGATGGACCATGGCATTATACAAGTGCAAACGTCAAAGACCCAACCCCTCGGAGTTTTTGCCCAGCAGATGCCATACCCCTGTTTCGTGGATGACGTGTGAGTAAAAAAGCTTTTATCTCTCAACCTTGTGATTCGAGGAAGACGGTTACACAGCAATAAAATTCTCCTCACTCTGGAGGGTTGCCACTCGCTACCACCTGAACGTAGAGTCATGTTCGTATTAATCATTTACACCTTTATGATTTCCCGGCGGAAACTTCAAGATGCTCCCTCTTATTTATCATACATACTCTTTCTTTAATATCCGTGTTCCTCTTGTTGCTGATCACAGATGAAACTACTAACATGGCGAACTCCTCTCGATGTCACTGCAAGAGTCAATAATAAATGAAACTCCTAATAAATTAAATCATGAATTTAGGGTCAGTGAGGGGGAAAACAGAAATGTAGACAGGAAGGAAAAGTCGGCAAAAAATATTGATTTTAGTCAAACCACAGGAAATCCCTGAATAGTTGATGGATGCTGAATTATTAAATCAACCAACACAAGTCTCTTCCTTCTTTATATTTCCCAGGCATTTTATTTTAACAAAGTGTGCGTACCCTATTCCAGATCGCTCAGAGCTCCACTCACAGCTCCATCACATGTAAAGATTGATAGCAGCACTCCATTTGTGTTGCGCGTGTATCCACTGATAGCGCTCACTTTCTATCACTGTCTATCATCTATCTAGGGACGCAGATGATGCGGTATCACTCCGAATCTACCGAAGCCAAGATTTCCTCAGAGTCTGGGAAATTACTCGCATCCACACAGCATTACGATCTCTGTTAATAAAGCAAAGGCCCAGCGATGCCATCAAGAGGAAAGATAATTACCAGGGAGATTTAAGTCCAACAACACAATGCGCCCCCTTCTTTAGTAGACACAAAATATTCACACTCCCATGGGAAACGCAGTTCCAACGATTAGGGATGTAATTTGAAAAATATGTTGTGCTTTGGGCACCACAAAGTTTACAGTACAGTAATCTTCAGGGAGTGCTTGGATCAACATGTTTAAAGAGGCCGAAGCAAATAGGAGAATGGAAATAAGGACATTATATTGAAGATGCATGTAGGGCTGCTAATATCTACAATTATCCCATTGAAGCATGTGTTGAATAATAGTAATGCACAATCCAGTACCGTATGATTGTCTTGGAATAAAAGGGAAAAAAAGGAAAAACTGTATTTAAAAAAAACAGCTGTTTTAATAATCATTGGGGTTTTGTATTGACTCTCTATGCAGAGCTTACTATCCCTGAACATTACATGTAGCTTCGCTGCTTTGCACTGCATTCTGTGGCTGCTGGTTTTTACTGGATACACAAAGTAGCTCTAATTAAAGGGAAGTTCCACTAACTACTGCGCCCAGCGGAGATATTCATCTGACAGGAATCGTGTCATTTCAAATTAGCTGAGGCACAAAACCCTCCACTTCATACATTAGTAGACGTGCTGCGGATGAAAGATGAGACGTCCCCAACTTCTGCTTTTTTGGGGTATTTTCTTACATGCCTGTTTTTGACTCGACTAAAAAATTAGCCCCAGACAACTTTATATGACAGCATCGAACTGCAGTATCAAAGGTGGGATGTTCCACACTCAGTATGTAACCATCTTGAAATGAAGCACCCTGATTTCTGTGTGTCGTTATTTACCTCTCATCGTTGTTTGATAATGATCTAGAATTACACGCTCATGGTGAAGATTATTTGCTGACGCCAGCCCCTGCTGCCTCAGTTCCGTCTTCGTAAAACAAAGGATTAATAATTGCAGAAGATAAATGGGAACCATAAAGCACCACAATGCCCTCAGTCCCTCCACCATTTACTCTCTCGCCTGCTGAGCCATTTGGGCATTTCTATAAATTATTAACACTTGAAAACTGCTATTTCATTCATAAATAATTGAGAGTGAAATCACACAAAGGAAGATGCGCTAAAACACAGAGAGGCATGATGGGAGAAAGAACTGGGTTGGTAATTATTTTGATCTGTGGCTGGGTTTTCTCATCCAAAAGGAAGGACAGAACATTGTGCATTGGATTGAACATGTTTGTGGGCAGCTGTATCTGAGTTTAGGGAAAGGTCCAATTTGACTTTTAAATGTCTTAATAAAAAAAACATCTATGTTTAGATACTCTCAGATGTTCCATTAATAATATAAAAGTTCACCACCTTGGTATTATGAGATGAATAATATATATGAATATAAAATCTATGGCTTGAAAGTATGTTGGTCTCATATAAATGTGGTTATAGTTCCAGTTTTACATGCTGAATTTAATTGCTTTTAGCAAAACGATGAAAGTTTATGTTTTGTGGAAGCTGGTGGGTGGCACTTTAATTTTAGGTTTGTACACATTTAAAAATGAATTTAAAATTAAATAATTTCACAGAAGCTCAGGAAAGACCTTATTATCATTTTGTTTTCTTTCTTATCTTTGCTCCTTCCTCTTTTTTCCATTTCGCCTTTTATTGGTAGCCAGAGGTTTTCCTAAAGTACAAATATTCTACTAATGCTTGATTTTTCAACATATATATCACAAACCAAAAACTGATGCATTTTTCCTAGGCGTCAGTTTTATCTTTGTTTCCCTCAATCTCACACAAACCAATATTTCAACTTTCTCTACAAACTTCAGCCAACAAGGCTTCACTGACTGCACTGACCTCGCACTCATCAACACTCCCGGCATCACAACTCCCTGAGAAACCATTTCCTCCGTCACATCCCGCATTTCCCCCTCACAACGTGCGACTGTAAGGCAGCCGACGAACCACCAGCAATCTGGCCCACTTCAACCATAGCTGACCCTGTTGGCATTTTGAATTTGAGATAACCAAACTGTATTAGCTCCCACTGTCTTTGTCTTTATTTTCACACTGTGCACAGGCCTGATATGACGGTATGGGATAAAGCTTGACCGCTGTGGGGCCTGATAGCACATAAACTGGTGCTTTATCAGCGGCCTCTGTGCCACCGCACGCTCCCGAATCAGAGGCATCTCTTGTTTGGATCCCGAGGCTGCGCTCCCCATCAATGGGTCTTTCACATTCACACGGGCTTGATGTGAGATCTGAGGCTGCTTTCAGCAATAACACAGGCCCGCAGTGGACACGAGGAATATTTAACTCAAGGATGTGAGGGCGAGACGCTTTTGTCCGGCGACAGTAGCTAATTAAACTAATGTCTGCAGTGTTTGAGAGCGAGTGAAATACTTGAGCATAATTGGGACATCTGAAGCTCATCACAAGCAAAAATCTGCGGTTGATGTTTTGTTTCATGTTTCTAGTGACATACTGTATTAATAACATCGGGGAATATTCCCTGTTTGCCTCCCTATACTTCTAAAAACCTGAAATACACAAAAATTCCAGCTTTCCTAAGATCACCAATCCTTGTTTGCGTAAGAGAACGACTGGAGTAATTGAAAGTACAGCAGAGGCAGTAGATTTATTCAAATGGCCATTATTAACTTGCTAAATGTGCAGAATGCAAAGTGTCCGTGTGTAGCCAATCAACATTTGAAGCTGAGTGAGCAATAAGAGCTGTGCATTAATGAGCGTGTTTATTCATTCATTTGATCCAGTGTGACACTTTTTAAGACCTGGCATTTCGGAGTCTCGGACAGAGGCAGGATGGCAGATGCTGCATTATTCAAACCGTCCAAGCACATTAACTCTGGAGTATTTTTAATTTAATGTGCTTTTAGTTTTGCATTTGGAATTTAAAATAATCATTGACAGGCATGCGTAGTGTACTTTTTATTCATCTTTAGACTGTGACTTGACACAGCTCATTGTATATTTGACTTGAGGTTATGCCACATCAGATGTTTTTGCTGTATGAGTAAGATAATATGTTTGGGGGAGTTGACAAAAAGTTAAGTTATCAAAAACTTGGATAATTTTTTTCATGACTGGGCTCAAAAGAAAAACTTATTTCAATCTCTCATGTAAGAAATATTCATCCCAACTAATGAGTACTTGAGTTAAATTTTAGTCTTCAAAGAGGTTTGTTGACAAAAGTCTTAAAATAAACATTATGAAAAGTAGAAGCAATTTGTATTTATTAGTAAAAGTGTAATGGTGTTAGATGAATAAATAGATATTTGTTGTTTGTGTTGTGACTAATTTCTTTTTTTTACAGAGACCAAACCTGTGTACAAAGGTTCATTTATTTGGCACCACACTCACTATAGTCTGTGAACTGGTTTAAGTTATAGTCCAGGACATCTCAGTGTATTTCCTCTCCTAAAAAAATCATCCTTCTATAAAATTTATAAAATGGCAGCAGCAGCTGAATGAACAAATAAAAAAGTAAAGATAAAACCTTTCTTTACCTCTTACAGTTCTCAACACCCCACTTTGATGTGTGTCTGTGAAGCTGCTGTACTTCCAGAAGCAAACAGACCTGAATACAGATAGATTTTATCTTTTCTTTTCTTTAGAAAAGGCTTTTACTGGAAAAAGTATTGATTTAATATTACTTAATATTACCTTTTTTTATTATTAAGTTAATGGTCATCAATTGTTCTTTAAATGCTGACACATTCACTTTGTACTTGAGCGATAACCTTTTATTTCTAGCCATGTCTCAAAATGTAGCTTTGCTTTTCAGTTTATGGAAATATACTACATTTCTAGCAGAAGCAGCTCTTTGAGCAATAATTTGTACCAGCTATTAGATAAAATTGCATAGTACATATGTTCAAAAGGAGACAGGAAGCTTTTTTTTTTTTTTTTTAGCATCGTACGCCAACCTCTGGGGAGGCTGTGCTCTACTATCTCTCGATTTACTGCGAAATGAGTCTTCCAGCTTCCCTAAATTTAGGTCAGGCTGCTAATGTAACCGGAGCCCTGTAACACGGACCCGCCCGGAGTTCTGTTACCTAAGCACCTTTGATCGATCAACCAATGTTTAATTCAAGAGCATCTGGTGGCAAGGTTGTCAGCGTCAGACACGGTGTGCATGACTGATCTCTCCCCCTCCAGTGCTAGAAGTCAGACAGAAGGAGTTAACTCGCCGAGGCTGTCAGCTGTTACACAGACGTCAGGGTAGAATCAGGAGCTGTATTAGTATTCAACTGAATGCAGAAGGGAGGTGAGCTGCGTCTGCCTTCCTCCCTCAAAAAAGGCACCAAAGCATTGGCTTCATTTGTGAAAGTGTAACGATTTGTCGATCCCTTCACATCTCTGTCAATTTCCAATTTTAAAGAAGAGATTTTATTTGTGTAATCTCATGAGGGTCTGAACTTTAAGATACTCTTCTCTCGCTGCTTTCAAGGCCCCGTTTGAAAATGATCCATCCCACGAGGGCAGGGGAAGTGTCCTCGAAAAAAAACAAGCTTCTCTCTCTCCCTCTCTCTCTCTCTCTCTCTCTCTCATTCAAGTTCTCATATAACTGAACTTCCTTCAAGGTCTCAGCGGAACAAACTTAATCTCTTTGTCGTGTTTGTAAGACAGTCCGGTACTTTCATCAGCAGTGGATTCATTCACTGAACTGTCTGAGCCAAACAATATTTTGCATAGACTGAAACTGAATACTGGTACAAGTGAAGTTTGTAAAATGTGTTTTATTTATTCACCAAAATAAAAGCTGTTGTAATTTGACTTTGAGGACAGATAAACAACTTTAAAAGACAATTATAGCAACATCATATACACCCGTTTAAAAAGGAATATAAAAAAAAAAATCAAATTACTGATTCTGAGATAAAACTATTATGTGGCGCTAACTAGAGATGTTTTGATGCATGGAATTCATTTAAAATAAAACTGGAACTACTGGAGCAATTCATTCCATTCAAACGTACTCGAAGTGCACTTTGATCAGTTATTTATGTTAATTGCTTTGAAGAAGAACATCATTCTGCCAATTACTGCACTTTAAGTTTTGGCTCCGTCTCTACATCTGTACTGAACAGTGCTTTCCTTGCATTATCATGCGCCCAGTATTTATGTTATGCAAGCATAAGCAATATGTGAAATCTATACCGTCAAAATCTATTCGATATCCCTCCTTCATTGTCTAATAAAGGAGAGGAAGCACTTTGCTATATTGACAGCGGGGAGGGTATCGACATGGCATTTTGGTGGCATTATGAAGCCAGTTTAATATCACCTCATTGTGTTGTGACAGAATCACATCATGCATCATCTTTGGCACGAGGCGCTGCACTAAGTGGCTCGAGTGAGCTGATGCACCAAGTTTATGAAGGTTAGCTGAGTGTAAAAATGAATATGGCCAAATGGAACTGTGCTCCATTGTTACATCTTGGATTGTGTTGATTGTCCATTGTGACTGTTAACTTTTTGATATCTGCAAAATAGTTTTCTCTCTTCTTTACAAGAGCACATGCAACTTTTTGGATTGCAAGTAGGAGGATTGTTTTCCGGACTGCTGCATTAGACTGCATTAGTTTTAGTGAGTCCCTTTGCCGCTGTGCAGTCCTGACCTTTTTGATTGTTTCTCTCAACAAACAGCTTCATTCAGAGTATTGGAGGCATCCTCCCCATGTTCCTGGTGCTGGCCTTCATGTACTCCGTGTGCATGAGCATCAAAAGCCTGGTGCTGGAGAAGGAGCTGCGGCTCAAGGAGGTGCTTCGAGCCGTTGGCATTCAAAACGGCGCCCTCTGGACCTCAAGGTTCACAGAGAACATTGTTCTGCTCGCAGTTCCCTGTTTGCTCATAAGTATCATGGTTAAGGTCAGTAGAGAAGAGTCGCTGGATTGAAAGTATCAGAACACAAAGCATCAACTTGATAATATATTGTTAAATTGTATGCAAATGTTAAATTGTCATATATGTTTTCAGCTGCATTATATGGTGAAGAAAACCCAAGAAATACTAACACAATAATTACCACTGGCATACTTTTGTATTCAGTGTGTTTAAGTGTTAAACATATTTTTCATAAAAACTATACTGATAATTTTACAAATCGAAATAAACAGTTAAATATCAAAAGCAGCACGAAAAGGAAAAATAAGCATCTGACCAAATGCATTTGAGCAAATAATCTTTTGCCTCTGTGTCATTCAGGTCAGATAAGTGTTCATGCTTTGTGTGTTGATGTTTTCACTGATCATAACCAGTTAATGATGCCCTCATCAAATCATTAGTCCTGATTCTTCAAATCATTACTCCTGAGCTAATTTATTGAGCATGCAGCCAATTAAATCAAATTAAAGTCACAGCCGTAATATTTTTTTTATTTCATGAAATTGCATCACCTCTTCCTCTGTGCCCCGCACGTCAGGAGGGCTTATGTAATGTCATTTGGAAAAATTATATTCAGCCACTGGAATATTCCGTTAAGCTATCTCATATTCACTGAGGGGCCCGAGTGTGTGGTTTAAAATACTTTTTACAATCCTGAAGTTCATGTTTTTTTAATACTCGCAATGTTATGGCAATCACATACAAATAATATATTTGGCTGTTGTTTTCTGTGCTCAGACTGGTTTTGAACTATAGACCACCTGCCAAAGGATTTTATTCAGATTTATATTCCAGATCTATTCTTCCAGATATATAATGTGCATGGGATTTAATTCTCGTGTTTTATCTGTTGACATGATCTTCTGCTTAATGATCGATTAGGATAGAAGCACGTAACACTGTTATCACAAAATGGAGACCCCTCATGACACATTATATTCTTCACCTTTAGATGAAGCACATCCTTGAAAGACTCCTTGTTCTCTGGGCGTTGCTAATAAAGCAGAAGAACAAGGATGGTTGATTGAGATCGGCCAAATCAATTCTAGCTGATAATTTGAAAATGTGGCTGGTAAATAAAATCTGATATTTGAACAGCTGGGTGAAATGTAATTTCCCATCAGCCTAATGTGTTTGCGAGCCATCAACAATTTGTAAACATTAATAACAATAAATTGAGTTAGTGCTGTGCCTTGGTGGAGCGACTGCAAGCACAATGAGCATTCAAATCACAGGCCCGTTCTAAATGATAATTTCACAGCCATTTTCAGCACATTAATAATCATAATAGCAAATCAAATGCTAATTATCACAAGGCTGTATCTGGATTAGGTGTGACAACAACCTGTTTTGTCCTCTGCACCTGAGTCCTCTGTCGATTTACACATGTTCCCTCTTCCATTATGGAGCAGTTAATGCATTCATTATGTGGCAGCCAGGCTGATATGTTTGCACTGTTCACACACTTGGCTCCGTCTCAATTCCCCTGAATCCAGGTGTTTGACGAGATCTTCTTGATATAAAAAACCCCAAACAAACAGATCAGTGATGATCAATACCCGTCACATCAGCTTCCAAACAGAACGTCCTTGTTTTGACAACATGAAACCACCTCCCAAATGTTTTGTCGTGTTAGCTGTCGTCATTAAAATTTGATTAATCTGTTGTGCAACACGACACCGAGAAAATAACGCACGTGCCAGTGGCAGAGACAACCTTCACAGTTCGGAGACAGCTATTGACATGTCATCAATCATATATTCACAGGACTAAACATAAATAAAATGTCTGAGACTGAGATGGAAAAGAGCAACATAGTATAGCAAGTACTGCCATTTAGACTTTAGTAAATGTCAGAGTTGATTATATTCATTTATGTTTTATTTGTTAAGGTAATCATGCATACATCACAATAAGACTGTTTATCAATAGACGGTGCACTCGGCGGGGTCAAGGGGTCACTTGAAACTGATGAGAAATAACACCTGACCATGCAGTTTGCAGCTCAGAGTATTTTAGCCTCTTTCAGCTCCTTGTTTTGATTTTATGACCACTCTCTCACTGTTTTGGTTCGATCCCGTCAGACCCTCTTGCAGCAGAATGGTTTCCTTCAGCTAAGAAGACACGCTGATGGACGCACCCTGGAACAAACTGCAGACACACCACACACAGCGTTTAGCAGCTCAAGAGCCACACATTTGCTTCTACTTTAGAAGTGGTAACCAAAGCATTTTTTAAATGGAGAGTGGAAGCTGGAGTTAGATTTATCAGCCAGCCATAGATACTTGAATGCTACTGTCGCTAAAATGTTCCCCTTATCCCGCTTATAAGTTGATAAGATGGCCGCGTGTGTGTTTAGAGCTTGTTTCTGCAAATGGGGTCATGGTCTTATCTGGTACGGCTCCCTCCATCCTTCAGGTTCCTCCGCTCTCTGGCTCGCTCGCTTCCCTTATACATGACGTTAGCCTGGATCTACTCCGTGGCCATGATCGTTAAGAGTATCGTTGGTGAGAAAGAGGCGAGGATCAAGGAGACAGTGAGGATCATGGGCCTGAGGAGTGCCATCTATTGGCTGAGCTGGGCAGTGTCCAGTGTGCTTCTGCTGGCTGTCAGCGCCATCCTCCTCGCCCTTATACTAAAGGTGATTTCAAAGTGATTAAACAGTGATTCAAGGAGACCCGGCACTAGTTTTGGAGAGTTTTTGCCATCAAGTCTCTCCAATGAGACTTTTGCTGAAAGTCAAAGTTGTCAATCTGAAGTGAAATAGATGATTTTACTTGATACTAACACTGTTGTACTTGAGAAAGTAAATTTATGGTTTCAGTGATGAACATTCATACAAAGTGTATTCTTTAATCATAACTGCATCCATCACAAAAGCACCATGATCCGAACTGGCTCTTCGACCTGGGCTCCTGGAAGACGTCATGGTGTCATGTGGGAGACTGGATGGATTCACGGGTTGCTCTCCAAAATTAGAGAAGGGTCCTCTTTCAAACAGGCAGAGTAAAAAGGTGACACATTTAACGACTGTTTCAATTGTGGTATTTAAAATCACATCATGGGAAAAATGTTCAGGGCATCCAGTAATGAGTCACCTTTTACTCTGCCTTAACAAATCAGCCATAAGAATCAAACTGTCTGATCTTTCCTGCTCGCTTGATATTTAATCATTGCTGTGTGTTTTTTGGATGTATATACTGTAGATGCTTGCATTTCTTTCTCTCCTCCATCTTTCATTTGTTTCTTCTGCCACAGTACGGGAAAGTGCTGCAGTACAGCGACCCCTCGGTAATCTTCGTCTTCCTGCTGGTGTTCTGTTTGGCCACCATCACTCAGTGCTTCTTCATTAGCGTCTTCTTCTCTAAGGCCAACTTAGCGGCGGCGTGCGGCGGCCTCATCTACTTTGTCCTCTATCTGCCGCACATCCTCTGCTACGCCTGGAGGGACGTCATGGGTTTCCGGGCCAAGGTTGCTGTGGTGAGTCTGTCTCCGGCGCTGACACGTTTTTTTATTTTTAATGTCTTTGCCCCGCTGTTATCATTCATGAGGACTGGCTGAGGTTTGTGTTATATTCCGAGGTTATGTTTTCGCCACTGTAATCACACTTTGGCAATCATTAGACATTTGTTCCTGATCCTTTCCTGGTTGTTATGAAGGGAAGTAAATTCACAGAGTCATTAATATCTGTCATAGATTCGTCTTTATCGTCTCCTGATAAATAATGTGTGAAGTGGGTGCCTCCAAGATGGATCGAGGGTCCGGTGAAATTTAAATTGCAACAGGAGAGCATGACGGAATTGTTTTAAAATATTCATGCCGTCACATGCTCTGACATATTTTGGCACTAGCTTGTGCAGTTTTTTTAGAACTGGACAAATGACAGAAACATGAAAGATTTTATTTACATAAAAGAAGAGACTAGACAGACGCACACTAAGGAAGTCAGGGATTTTCTGCTATCCTCTAAGGGATAAAGATAAATAGTGCACCATTGCTCAACTTTCAGCATAGCCTTTCTCCGTGACCTTTATGGCGGTGCTGGTATCATTTGTCCTCAAGCTGTCCTCTCTGCAGACAAAGACACAAAAAATTTTGAAACTTCACTGCCGTTTGTGCGAGTGCATCCTCCCAGAATTTAAATCAGGTCATGTTTTCTTCTTCTCCTTTTTTTTTATTTTGTCTCGACGGTGCAGTAAAAGGTTTGTGTGGGCAGGAAAAAAACAATCTCATGCTTCTTAGTTATCAAATTAAAAAAGTAGGCATGTGCACCGTACAGAAGTCACTTTGTAAATGTTGCTTTTCGCAAACATATCTTGTGAAATCTCCTGTAAGGAAACTTCTCGCTGCATTTCATTTCACAGACTGCATGCAGGTTAGGTAGGTGCTTTGCATGTAAGGCTCTGCAAACCTCATTTAATCCCTACACAAAGTGCCATTGCGAGTTTCTCTTCCCAGCTCTGAGATTTTTCTCCTCTGCTCCAACTAGATGGATAGTCCTCTAGCCCTCTAATTAGCATGAGCAATGTTCCTCTGACCAAACCACTATCCAGTTCATCCCCACACTTTATCAGAGATGTGTGTGTGCAGAGGACTCTCTCTCTCTCTCTCTCCCTCTCTCTTTCTCTTTCTCTCTCTCTCTCTCCTTGCTCAGATGAAGCCACTTCGTGCCGTGGAATACAAATTCTTCCCCACATCGTCCTTGATAATGAAGTCTTTAATCGGAACAGAATTTGAAAAGATCACCTAAATTTATATGAACAGTTTTTGATTGCAGCTCGGTGCCAAAGGAGAGCTTCCGGCAGCGTATCAGAGGGCCACTATTAGACAGGGCACAGTCACAATCCAACTTCCCATCTCCTGCGCTTTGACTGCTTTCTCTCCTCTTTGAGCTCGAGCTTTTAAAGAGTTGAAACAAGAGAGAGTTCCTTTATGTTCTGGAAAACCAGAAAAATTCAATTAATCTCAGCCCTGGAAACGTCATGAGGAGAAAATCATCATTCCTGCAAAATAATGTAAAACTTATCAGATTTTAGGTAATTAATTTCTGCTTTTGTAGCAACTGGGAAGTGATTTACACATATGCATTTGTTTAGACTCAATGCATCTTACTGCAATTTAAATAGAGCTAACTAACTGTTGTTTTTGAGATTCCTCAAAAACAAACACAAAGGATAAAAGGGAGGAGAGAGGATTAATTCACAACAAATGTCCTCTATCCCCTGATTACGAATTACCAATCTATTGCTCTAGCTGCCCCTTTGTTTTTCAGCATCCAGTTAATTCTAAGAAATACTGCTCAAACAGCAAGGAAAGCACTATAATGTTTTAAAAAGGAAACATTTTTTTCAGACCCTCTCACCCGTGTTCTCAAAAAGATGATTTCTTGGAACTCTGATTACTCCTTCTACCAACGGTGTTTGTTGAGGGGTGGCTGAACCTGCAGTGTTCAATAGAGGAGGTTTGTCTTCCTCCCGACTCGTTGCCCTTTTCTGCAACACTAAAGGAAAGGCTCCTGCCGTTCTGTCTGCCATTCATACTGAGGTCAAGCATGGGTGCGCGCCAGCCCTGCTGTCACCTCTCCTCTTCTGATGATTGCCTGGCAGTAGACGGGCAGTGGAAGATGACCCAGGACGTTGCCTGCAGTGCGAGTAGCCAGGTTAGAGGTTCATCACCACTGAGGAGCTTCTCTCCCCGGTAAACGCAGCAGTGGGTGGACCTATCCACGACGATTCGTCTCTGGCGCTTCTGCAACCGCTGCTGCCGGAGCGAAAATGCTGTGAGCAAATGAGGCATGGTAAAACAGCTGGCAGCCAACATGGCAAGGCAGAGTGACATGCCGCTGCAGATGATGTCTCGTGGGCAACGCATCATTTGCAGTTTCCTACTGTATGAAAGAGCCAACAAATCTTCATTTTGCAGCACATACATTTTTTTGGTCTCCATCTTTGTTTTCATCAAGATGGGAAGTCCTCAGAGATGCCAGCGCAGTAGTTGGACCAGCTGACATCTGTGCATGGATCTCAGTAGACTGTATATGTTCACCAATTAATGCCAAAGACTAAAACCCATTCTTTTACTTCCTGAAAACTGACAAATGCTGTATCTTGCAGTATTAAGGAAAGTAGGGGGGGGAAATAACTCCAGATCCACATCAAAATGTGATTCTTCCTTTTCTGGCTCCTGTTCCGGTCATTTTGGTGCAAATGGATTCAGTGACATTTGCTTAATCACACTTTTCATTCAACAGATGAGGACATTTAAAGGACTTTCATCCCTGTATGTCAGTTGTGCAGCCTGTAGTTCTTTTTATGTTGTCGCTTGTTTCAATCATTCAGTCTTCATGTTCGTTTAAACTGGTGAACCAAAGACAATGTTCCTCTTTGGTCCGGGAAAAAGTTCTGTTCTATTTTGCAACTAAAGGCAGCTGGAAACAAATTAAACAAAGTCCACCAACCTCAAAAGTTCAGTAATTACAACTTGCTATCTTGTTTGTTTAAACTTTGTTAAAACTGTGCAGTGTAAAAATACCAATTCATTTCATATTCAGCCACTTATTTCTTGGCCAAGACCAGATGCCAGGCAAACTGCAGGGTTTAGAATAAAGAAAGTTTAATTTTTTAAATGAGTGTATTTCCAAAAATGCAACAAACTCCTTTAACTGTCGATGTTTTTTCTTGCACTTCTTTCATTCCCAGAGTTTATTGTCATGTGTGGCCTTCGGCTACGGCTGTGAGAGCTTCTCAAAGTACGAGGAGCAAGGCATCGGTATTCAGTGGCACAACATCAACAAGAGTCCAGAGGAGGGCGAACGCTACACGTTCTTACTGTCCATCATCATGATGCTCTTTGATTCTGCTGTATACTGGATCCTCACCTGGTACATTGAGAATGTTTTCCCAGGTAGTCATTCACTCAACTTCCTTAATCGCCTCTGAAAAGAGGAACATTTACAGATGTGGTGCTGTATTTACTGTTCTTCCATGTACAGTAGCCAGTTGCTGTGATCCTAACAGGCTCGGCCGGATGCTTTTCCTCATATATTCTAATTAAAAGAAGACAGGAGTTGTGTCGGGGAAACCTACACTGTGAAATTCCGTATTACCTCCAGCCAAGCCATCGTTGAAATGCTAATCATGTTCTTCACGCTCGTTCCCAGGCCAATATGGAATCCCTAAGCCATGGTACTTCCCTTTCACTGCATCTTACTGGTGTGGCAGAGCCTCAGTGACTCATGTTGACCCCGGGTTTTTGAAAGACTACAACGTACATCATGGTAAAAACTCATATAACTTGTATTATTATGTGTTGGTAAGAATTACTCACAAGTATTATAGGGAATATAGTTCTAATAAGAGGTGTAAGTTAATTGGGATGGGTCGCAAACAAGCAGTAGCCTCTAATTTGTCACATCGGGACATAATAAAGTTTACTTTGAAGGTAAAAGGGGAATTTCAAGAAATAACAAAACAGTGACCAATTAATTTTGGAGTCAGCTCAAGTTGGTTATTGAGCAGGAATGCATTAATTTTCCTTTTTGACTATAGGACATGGAAAAGTAATATTTTGTGTTTGTTAACCATATGATGCCAAGCAATCTCATTGTATTGCAGTATTCGCAGCCTCATTACATATTACCAAGCATGATTTTGTTGTTATTTTTTAATAGTATGTATTTCTGCATTTTAATTTGGCTTTGTGTCTTTAAAAAGGCTTTTTAATGTTAGATCAACTTAATAACATGCTTTTGTATGGATTTCTCTGTTTGTTTCTGTGCTTCTCTAAAGAATATCTGGAGAAAACGCCGTCCAACATGAAGGCAGGGGTCTCAGTCCGCAATCTTGTCAAAATCTACAAAACAGGAAAGAAGCTGGCCGTAGACGGACTAACTGTGGACTTCTATGAGAATCAGATCACATCTTTCCTCGGCCACAACGGAGCTGGAAAAACAACCACAATGTGAGTCACATTATCTCTTTCCCCCCATGCTCTGCCACTGGGCTCAGTGTTCATGTAATTTCACAGGGTGCAACTAATCTAACTTGTACACAATGCTGACTGCACGGCCGCTACATCAATTCAGTGGTCACTGCTCTCAGAAGAGTGACATCTTCTGAGAGGACATTTATCACACGGAGTCAGCCGCTGCGTTGATAGCGGGAGTTATCTAATTGCTGTTTAAAAAATTGTGGAAAGGTTGGAAGGGGTTTTGGGATGACAGCAAATAAATGAAACGCAGTGGCCCAGAAAGAATGAGCGAGAGAGGAAGAGAGGAAGGGAGAGCAAGTGATGCAAGACTAAGGGCTGAAGGGAAGGCGTCCGCTCTGAGCCTCTGTAACGAAACAGAACGGAGCACAATAACAGAAAGGACACAGGAAGGACTGTCACACACTGACGCTCTGTGTGAATGCATTTCTACGGAGACACCAGAGCATCTTATCTATCTGTGACATTCACTGATACAACTGGGGTTGAACACAAACCAGTTCTGCTTTTATCCTTTGCTCTGTTACAGTCTTTTGTAAGGTCTGCTCAGGCTCGTCTGTAATTAACACATCATTAATGACCTGATACAAGTTAATGGAGATGGACAGTGTGCAGACTGTCAATGTGGACAGTCAATGCTCCAGTTTGTTTGATAAAGTAATGTGTTAGACAGCTGGTTCAATTCCTCTATTATGAAAATTAAATTAGGATTATATTATTATAGTGCTGGTGAAATTGGACAATACATCTATTGACTTTTATGTTTAAATGAAGCTGGGAATAAATTTAATTCACTGTCATCTTCTACAAACCGCTTCTCAGTGGTAGGGATCTTTTCCTCATGATTGTAGAGATTATGTATTAAAAATCAAAAACACAAATTAAAGATATGATATGGAACAATGTCTAAACATGTTAAGTTGTATATTCATTTTGGCTGAAAGGAAAAAAAAACACATTACCAGTTACCAAACCACTGTTTGTGTGGGTCACTCATAATAATCACCATTATTCATTTGCAGCATAACGTAAAAAAAAGTTGTTATACATGACCTTATCCATGAACATGAGTTGCATCAGACAGCTCCCATGATCCCACGCTGCTTCATGACATCATCAAGGTCTTTTGTCATTATTCAAATTGAAAGACCCCCGAGTCTCACATCTCCATGCTTCAGTTTGTAATCAGGATATTGTGTCTTTTATTTCCCTGCAGGTCAATTCTGACAGGACTGTTCCCGCCCACATCAGGCACAGCTCTCATCAATGGATATGACATCCTCACTGACATGGACAGAATCAGGAAGTATTTGGGAATGTGCCCACAGCACAACGTCTTATTCAATGAGTGAGTGAATTAAGCAGATAACCATCCGTCTATGTTCTCAGCCGGCCATTAGTGTAATCATGGTTTGCCTCTGGTTTATTAAAAGAGGAGAAGAAAGGGAGGAAAAATCATTAAAGAGAAATTTAGTCACATGTGTAACGAGGGCTCGGTCTCAGCTTATTTTCCACATCAACACATCATTATCCCTTTGCCTTTTTATGATAAAAAATAAAATGTCCCCTAAATCTCTGCTAATAGCGTCATTCCCAGCTATGGCAGTGTTTTAAATTCACCCTACGAGTCCCCTCTTTTCTCTCCCTGCACAAACTGACTCCTGCAACTTGACACAAGTCCTACATCATCATTATGGCTCAGCACCTGCAAATTACTTTCATTAATATTAATCCCAGACAGTCGAAGCACCTATATTAAATAGAGTTAAAATATTCATGCAAACACTGAGGTAGACATTACAGCATATTACTTCAGCTCACAAAAAGTGCAGTGGATCATCTCGCAAAGTGCTTCCAACGTGACGCTTTGGATAATTCAAACAGCTGCATATGAAGAAGTGGCGCGTGCTGCCCTCCGCGGTCACTCGGGGCCTCCTCACACGTCACTCAAACAATATTATTTTCACCTTTTCCAGGCTGACAGTGGAGGAGCACATCTACTTCTACGCTCGGCTGAAAGGACACAGCCGTGATGAGGTGAAAATTGAGATGGACCAGATGATTAAGGACGTTGGTTTACCACATAAGAGGAAGGAGCTCGCTAAGAACCTGTCAGGTGTGTCTGCGTGTTTGTTGACACCTTTTTGAATCTTGTGTATCTCAGAAGGTCTGAATGAAATTATGCAGAGATGTAAATTATGTTTTTGATGTCTGGATCAGTCTGTGTGCTCGGTGCATTCATTTCCCCCAGGGACGATATATCATCTTTAAATTATCTTTTCTATTCAGGATAAAGCTGCTCTGTTACACCGCTCCTATGCCGGCACATGTACAAGCAGCAGCCTCTGCATACACATGCACTGTACCTGTGTGTCACAGGCTGTAATTCATTGTCTGGGAGGCATGAGCAGGTCCTGTTTGATGAATTGTCCCCAGTCATGGATTGCTTGTGAGCAAAATCGCTGGAATATGACTTTCAAGGTTGATCTATTTCCATTTCCACTACATTAACACTACATTGGATGCATTTTGAAGAGCTCACTATGAGTGGATGGCATCTAACCCTATTCAAGTGTATCTACTTCTCAGCCTGCGCACAAAAGGCGGTGAAACATTGGGGAGGAACTTCTCAACACATTTATTCCATAATCAGCTTCCAATAGCTTCTCCAATAGCTTCCAGGCTCAGTTCACAGAACCCTGAACCTGCACTACCACTGCTGCACAAAGAGCTTTTCACCTGTTTAAGATCAGTGAAGCTCAAGTCAGTACACAGAAGCCTGAGCTGGAGAGTCAGTTGCTGAGAATGCACTGTTGTCGTGATCGATTACATACCGCCGGCTACCTCTTTATTTGTAATATTGAATGTATCACGTGTCCAAATTGCAATGGACACTGCATTTCTCTGGCTTTTAACAATACAAATGACAAGTATGAATGGTTCTCAAGCTATGTGAGTCACAGACAGAGATTTCTCATTTTATTAGATAGATAAAAGCACATTTTCAAGATGCAATATATCACAAAGTTACCGCAGCTGATACGAATTGTTATGTGTTCCAGGTGGCATGCAGAGGAAACTCTCCGTGGCTATAGCGTTTGTTGGAGGCTCAAAAATCGTCATCTTAGATGAACCGACAGCAGGAGTGGACCCCTACGCCCGCAGGGGTATCTGGGAACTACTGTTAAAATACAAGCAAGGTATGAGATCAGTGGTAAGAACACAAGCTCCACTGAAGGCTTTGAAGTTCCTTATGTTTGCAAGATTGACTGGGATGCACAGTGCACGTTTGACCTCTGTCAAAACCAAGAAACTTTCCCAAACTGTGGCCGACAGGTAAACTTTTAACTGACGAGGCTCAAACGTGTTCGGTATAAGAGCTGTTAAGGTAATGAACCATCCAGAGCGGCCCTCACAACTTATTGTCTTTGCCTTACTCTCTGTGACACTCAGTTGTGGGTGGAAAGGAATTGTAATTTGTACTGGAACAGATTGAAATGCAAGTGAAGACAAGTGAATCCAAGAAGCCTTAATTGACGTTGCTACTTAACAGCCGCCCTAATTGTGCGCCGTATCGGCCGGCCTGTCACTCTGTGGCCTGCACTTTGTGGTCGCTGGGGGCTCAGAGCAGGACGTGGACGTTATAGTAACACGTTCTCTCAGCAGATTTCTAAATGTTTAATGTGCTTTGAGTGACATTCCACCCTCACTGTGTCATTAGCTCCTCTCTCTCTAATCAAGTCTTTTCACTCCAATCCGAAGCGGCAGATAACTCTGTTATAATGAGAACACCCACATTCTGGCTGCCTGAGTGAGTCACGTTTTGTGCCTCTTCTCGTATTTGCACCACAGCGTTACTAAGGTTTGTCATTAGGCATGAAAGGACACAGATATTGTATTTGTATGAAAGAGCTGAAGGCCGAAATTGGACTTGTGTTGTTGTGGTTCCTTCTAGATAATTCACAGGGACAGGTTGACCAGATTAATGTAAGTCGGCGTTGTGCTTATTAAATTCTGTCGAGGCTTATTTGGTTGCTGACAGTCGAAACTCTTGTTTGCACATTTCATTGGTTTAAAGGAACGTGAACGTACCAAACATTAAACATTTACTGTGAATATTTGATTTCTCTTTATAAGTAGTGAGCGCTGACATGTTTGATATTTAATTACTTACCAGAGGTAAAACAGCATATTGTGGAAATACTCAGTTAACATTTATTCAAGAATGTTGTACAAAGCCTTACGTAGAGTCTCACACGTATAAATGCTAAGAGTCCAGCGTGAAATCAAAGAGAGAGTAGGTGTTGAGTTATGTAAGATGCAACTAATAGTTTTGAAGGTATAGGGAAAAGCTAATTCTTTATATTACAGAGGAGGAAATGCATAATTAAAATATTTTCACAAAAAATGTAGGAGTTCTGTGCAGTGATCTGTTACTCGACTACCATTTGAATATACAGTAACAGTATTTAAAGCTTTAAGGGGATTACAAGTGTTCAGGATACCGGAACAGTATCATCCTCGGCCAAGCTCACACATAAAACACACACACTCACATTCTCGCCCACTCACACACCAACACAGAACAAATGCATGTCTGTTATTTTTTTTGTCCGTTAACGCATCACATTTGTCTCCAAACTTTAAAACACAGAAACTCTGCAGTCTTGGGGGCTCCTGGGTTGCCATGACAGAGAGGAACCGCCACAGCAATAAAACATTTGTGATACATCTCTGAACACTGGGTTGATAAGTAAATACAGCCCACATCGATAATCCTCATGTCACTATGCACTATGTATTATGCACAGAGTTGCATACACACACACACATACGCGCACCCACGTACACATGCACGCAAACACACAAACACACACACTGCCAGGTTGTGATTAAATTCTCTGTGGCCCATGATCCGTCTCTAAATCTTTGCAATTTTCATTTTATGCAGCTTTAATATGGATCATAGTTGCTCTCAGAGTGCCCCATCTCCTAATCTGGAGCAATCTGAGCTGAGCCTGGCTGGGCCAACAGCTGACACTAAGCCAACCAGTCACAGCGAAGCAGCCAGCAAGTCAGCAACAAAGCATCTGTGCAGCCAGGGCAGGCCCGAAATTACAGGAGACAGAGAAGTTTGAAATATTGTAAAGGCATTTTTGTTTTGTAATCTTGCAGCAGCTACAGAAATATTTACCGTGTGTGTTTTGTACAGAACCAACTAAGTAAAGATGTAACTGAATGACAGCAAACAAAACAAAGCAAAATGTGATGAGAATTCAGCAGAAGAAGAAGATTTATGTTAATAATGAGTCAAACTTTAAGACGTAAGTGTAGTTGTGGGCTCTGTGTTAAATTCTGCACACGATAAATCTTGATGTGGTTATGATGTGATGGGCTGAGTGTCTGTGCAGAGGTTGACGGAGGTGGAGGGAGGTGTGGGGCTGAAGGGTAACGTTTGTTGAGGTCACAGAGCTGCAGTGTGTTTAGTGTGTGTGTGTTTGTCAGGGGGCATAGTGTCCTTACATGGCACCTCAGTCACACATACAGATAGATATTCAATACCTGCAAGCACATCAACACACACACACACACACACACACACACACACACATTCACTCACTCACAGAAGACCACACATGACCCTATTTTTTCAGAGCAGCAGAGGGGTGTAAGAGGATTAAGTAATTAAGGGTACACTGTTAAAAACTGTATATTAATATGGTAATGCTAACAGATCCAGGAAATCCACTGAATGATCTCTATCGAAATCATCCAACTGTTTGTGGCAAATTGCAAATAGATTCACTTGTGAACTTTCCTTTACAGTTGGCAGAGGAAGGACTTTGCATGTTGGTGTCGCGCTTCTCTCAGTCTGGATTAAACTGTCATGTCAAAATACCAACGAGCAACCGGCTGAAGTGTTGGAGCACGACCAGGCGCCCTTCTGGGAACTACTGTAAATAATACTGCTGCTGCTGATGATGGAGGAAACCTCGCAAACTGAGCAAAGCTAATGCTAGGCTTAACTCTCCCACTATCCGTCTCCCTCTCTCTCTCTTAAACACACACACACACACACACACATGCAGTAGCACACAAACACTGCATTACATCACATGTTCGCTTTGCTTAGTTTCTGCAACACTGTAGATGAATCCGTCTCCGAGCGACAATAATTTCCTCAGATGGTCATTGTTGCTGCTGTTAATGAAGAGAGCGAGAGAGTGAGAATGAAAGAGGGAGAGTGAACATCAGGGGGGAGGAGTGGTGGGGTTGGGGGGTCACTCCACCACCTCAGTCGGCTTTAATCCTCCCGGTGGCAGAAGGCAAGACCAGTTAGATATAAGGAAACCCTTATGGACATGTTCACATGCAGGGACACCTTAGTGGTCACGCTTGACTTTTATTTGAATATGTAAAATATAATCAGCGACTTAAGCTAAGCTAAGATAAGCTAGGATAAGATAAGAAAAACTTTTNATGCTCATGTGTTAAACCTGACCTTGTCAATGAAATAATATGAAATGAATGGAGGAGACGAGAAGCAGCTGTAATATTCACATATTAGATTTAAAGCAATACTCACATTGAATGTTGTAACCTTCAACAAATACTTGCAGATTTCATTCAGTAGACATCGTGGTAGCAGATGTTAATGGTTGTGACTATCTCCTACTCACTATAAAGGGATGTTGAGGAATATATAGTGAGTTCTCTGAGCTGGTAATTGGTTGGCTGGCGGAAAACTAAAGTGAAAGCACAATGAAACGACCATGAATAAATGTAGAACCACAAACCACCCCACCAGAAGTATTGGGGATGTACATATGTGACATTGCTGGCAAATAAAAACATGCAGGTCTTTCTTCTCATGATAACAATTAATAAATAATAATTCTGATATTCTTGATAAGGAGTAGAGGATTACTGGGATGTGCTGCCCTCTCTCCTCTCCGCCATTTCTCTTCCTGTCACAAGCGCAATGCATGATGGTTTATATTTGTTGGTTGGTGGCAATCGGACAGCACTACTCACTGTACAGTGATTAGTTTATCATTTTGGACTTTGTTCGTCAAAATGTTTTGTAAAACTCTCAAAATCTGACATTTAACGTGCATTAGTGTTTATTAATTTTGTAATCGAAACTACCAGCCCATCGGTTTCTGTTAACTCGTGGACAGCCCATTTCAATTCATTTTAAAATGTATTGATTTGGATTGATTGCCACAAAACGGCAGTTGATACAGTTTAGTCCGGTAATTCATCTTCCTGCCAATGTACATAATATCTGTCCGGCCTCACTCAACTGCAAATCAATTCCCATCAGCGTGATTTAGAGGGAAGGAAGCAAAAATAAGAGAAAACCAGATTCTCAGCCTCGCTTTTTCTGTACGCTGTGTGAGCGCTTCCAATTTACCTGAACACACCCCGACTCCATTTGATATATCACTTTGTGCTGTAATGCGCCACAACACCCTATAAATCAGAATACCTTTGTGGACCATCCGCAGTCCAAGCACATTTATTTTGCTCCCAACTCACGGACGTAGCAGTGTGTTTTTATTTATTTTTTCTCGTAAACCGCAACAAATCCCTATCGGAAAATCATCTGTGATTTTGAGCAACACACACAAAATGAGCAGGCTCAGTCAAACTAAACCTGGAGCAATCTCCTCCGCCCCCCCCTCCTTCATAAGCATTGCTTTTCTTCCCTCCGTATGTTAAATTGACTGGGTCGTGGACATTCATTCAGCTTTGCATTTTGTTGAGTTTGTGTATGGAGCCAGACTTGCTTGGCGTAGCATAAGGCAGCGATACTTAACTGAGGACGGATGGATTTAGCAGCTCAGCTGGTGACAGGGCACAAAAAGAGAGCAGGCTGGGTGGGAGGGAGAGAGAGCTGAATGAGTTGACCAAGCAAAATGGCTGCACCAGGCTGCAGCTAGTGACCTCTGAGCGTGTCCTTGTCCCGGGGATAACACGACCTGTGAAGACACACATTTGTCCAGCTCAGTGCAAAAAAAAAGAAAAAAAGATGCCATGCTCAGCAGAGGACTTATGCAACAAAGACTGACACAGAAAGGGTGCCTCCAGTCAGATTGTTACCGAGCGTTTCTCATCATGTTTGGAGATTAATACGCTTGATGCGGCGAACCTGTCATGATCCGCTGCTTGCTGTTCAAAATAACACCTCAGCGAGATCAAAATTCTGCAGCGTGCGTTTGGCTCTGTGAGGCAGCATGTTTTCACACAGACGTACAAGAGTGTGATTTTTATCCGATAATGTCACGAGATGAAAAGTTAAGGCATCGCTAAAGTTCATCCTGAGGTGAACATGAATAATCGTAATCAAAGTCGCTGCATGTTTTCAGTCTGGAGCCAAGTGGTGCAGACAACAGAGCGTAATCACATGGATGAGGCCTCCAGCAGAAACACCAGCGCAGCGAGAATGACTCATTTGGCCTCATAAGTGTGGAAGAACAGTTTTTTCAGAATGACAACTAAACCTTTTACAGTAAAGTTCTTTTTTTTTGTTTTACCGACTATATTTAAGAAAGTTTTCATTTGATTTTCCTCTTTTCTGTCAGTGCACATCAAATTGTGAGAACTGTTCCGTCTACTAGAAGGTTATGTTTCCACCACTTTGAATGTGATTGCACTAAAGCTGCTGAATGGAAAGCATTTTTAAAAGGGATGCAGTATAGGTCAGGGAAGAATCTGGATCTAAATGGAAAAACATCAGGCATGTTAAGGTGATTGATGTTTATGTCGGTGTAAAAATTTGATATGGAAAAAATTTGATTTGGTGAATTTGTTTGAGGTGTGAACTCTACTACTCTATTTTAGTTTATTCCTGCTTCAATAGTCTGATCTTCATTGCTTTATTTTTTTCCCCTGTTTTTAACTTGTTAAAAACTATGTTTTGAAAGGTTCTACATAAACAAACTGCATTATTATTATTATTATTATTAGTAGTAGTAGTAGTAGTAGGTGTGAGAGCAGCAGCACAGAGTTTTGAGTAACTTTTAATACTGCTGCTCTCACACCAGCTTCAGAGGCATGCTGGGACTTCATCACAGATTTACTTCTTTTTGGATTTCAGGGTATATGATTATTACCATATGTTATCAGATATTATGTGATATTTGAAAATTTGAATAGTGGTTGTCGCTGCTGTCGTGCTCGGTTTGGTCCATTTCAAACACAAGGACTCGCAGCACAAAGAAAGGTGCACTGAATTAAAATTTGATTTCACAGAAAAGCTGAAAAGAAGGCTCAGGCTGGCCTTTGTCCTAATTTTTAATTTAGTCCCAGAGTCACCTCCACGCTCTCCTCTGGAGTTTGTTTTGTTGCCATGTGGCAGTGAGATGAAAAGTCACGACCATGCTGTGACATACTGGAGAGTGATACTGGCTTGCTTTGAGCAGAAGCTTGGTACTGCTGATTTTTCCTCCTCAAGTGTGCAAAGAAAGAGACTTTATTAATTCGATTACCAGTCTGTGCTTCAACTTTTTAATATTTGCTATTTCTGCCTCTCCTCAGGTCGCACCATCATTCTGTCCACGCACCACATGGATGAGGCAGACATTTTAGGTGACCGCATCGCCATCATCTCCCACGGCAAGATGCGTTGCTGCGGCTCCTCGCTCTTCTTAAAGAAATGTTTTGGCAGCGGCTATTACCTCACCCTGGTCCGAGACGGGACTGACAAGATGGCAGCTCAGCGTAATGGTATCATCCACAGTCAGACTGCAGAGGTACGAGCAGATGTGTGTTGATTCTGGGGCATGATTGGATTTTAAACGTTCATTTTACTGGGAATGTTCATACACATTATGTCCTGTTTAGAAATTCATGGATATTGGGTCCGTTATTCTGTTATTGTCCACTTGGACTTTGATTACATGATTCACCATGTGGACTGAATTACATTGTGTCTGATTTTAAACAACAACATAGATTGAGACTGTAATATTATATATTACATTATGTCCATCCTGGTTACAGTACATCTCTCACTATTGTTTCCATTATTATAGAGTTAATGTTTTCAAATGAGATACATGTTGGCACAACTAAAACCTGGAAGCTATTTTGCTTTTGTTGAAGAGAGTTAAATACTTGCTCCATTTAATAAATAAAATATATCAGTTTGTACCTTTGTATTTAAATAAACCACAACCTATTCTATTTAAGCATTTTTTAAATAATTTTGATAAAATACATTTAACATTGAGAGAAACAAGTTTTTAACTAAATAATTTGAAGGATTCTAATAAACTAAGTCATTTCAAACCTTAATTTGTTATTATCAGTGATATTTCCACTGTGCTTATGACTGCTGACAGACACAGCATCAGCTGTGTGGTCTAATCATCATCAGACTTTGCTGATTAGGACCCCTGCCTGACCACACAGCTACCCTCTGTTTTTTATCCTTATTAGAATAACTTCACATAAATCTGCTGTAATTGGGAGGGGATCATTCTTTGTGAGTTCATGCATGAACAAAAGAACCTGAGCTGCAAACCTCTGTGACACAACACGAAACTCTCTCCAGTCTATTATTGAACATGGCTCCCTCTTACTTTCCTGAGTGCTCTCGTTCTCTCCTGCCGCCCTCTCCCTATAATGATCTGTGTTTAGTCTCTCCCAGCATGAGAATTGGCAAACGCCTACGTGCTGGATGATACTAATTGTCACCGGGGAGAGGGGTGATTCTCGCTCTTGCACGCCAGTGGTGCCTCACACACTTAGTTTTAATCAATAGGAGCAAATGAACAAGATGCACGATGCCAGCAGGGCTAGAGCAATTACCATTAGTCTGCAGGCTCATTGAGGTGAGCGCAGTCTTTTCTTTGATATAAATAAACGTGCAAACACCTTTGTGGGGAGGGGAGAGGAGTGTGTCCTCTGAATTACAACTTTGTCATTCAGTGGAGTTACAGTCAGTGTAAGGAAATGATCATAATGTGATGAATGCAATGCAGGACTTTTCAAAGAGGTACTGTTTATCCTGTTCTGGAATGATAACGCCTTTTAATCCATTTCTGATTAACAGGAGAAAGACTATCCTTCGAGGAGCAGCCTCGATGATGGCATCGGGAGCCAAAGCTGGAGCAGCTCCGATCCCTCAGGTAAAAATTATATCTCCGTTACTGCCAGTTTCAGATTAGCCCTGTTTAATGAAACGGTGTGAATATTTCATCCAAAACTAAAAATCATGTCTTTGTTATGTTAACGCACAGCAACATAGGTCACACTGCTCTGTGTCAGCCTATTTTGAAGGGGACATATTTTTCTTTGAGTCAAAGGCTGAAAAGAGGAGCTGCAGCAATGGGCAGTTTGAGGAAATGTTTTCTAAGCATTAGAGCATATGAACCTTTGTAAGTAATAACGCAAATTAAAACAATATATCCTTTTAAAACAAATACGACCTCTAAAAATAACCCATTCCAAGTGTGCTTGAGGCCCATGAGCTCACAGAGTTTTCACACCACACCAGCTGACGCCACAGAAGAAGTAAAGTAGCTGCTGCCTCGAGATGCAGTTTCAATGTTCTCACTACCAACAGAGTGCACTTTACAGTAAAGTGTTAAATGGGGAAGTGGGAGTTTCAGCTATAGACAACTGCTCTGTGAGTGCAGGAAAACTCGGAGACAGTAATGGACATGTGAACAGAATACGGTGTCATTTGAACATCATGTTTCAGATGATGGCAAATTCACTGCAAAGGGAGGATGATGTGCAGTGTTGTTTTCAGAGGGAGTTCACATCATGTCCACTTGTTGAGCTTGCTCCTCAGTTCTGTTGGTGGAACGTCCGTGTGACATCTGAAGTTTTTTCCAGAGTCTTTCAGAGTTTATCCTTCAAATTCAGCTCCAGATTTGTTTATATTAAGATACAATTAATGGTTTTGATGCTCAGTGCTACTCAGAAACGCATATTAATATATTTGTGTCATCAAAAAATATGTATTTACATGTTCTCTATTTGCCCATATATACCATATTCTCAGTTGTAACTATATATTTTCCATATGAAAATTACATTTGCTTTATTTAGTGATGTTGGGTGGATTCCCACTGTTTAAGTGTCTTAAATATAGTGCTTGAAAAAAGAATAATCCACCTCCTTGAGTCTCAGTTGCTCTATATTCATCAGCTGCATCTCATTTGACACATTCTTATTCATGTTTTTTTTTAACTTAAGTTTGAGAATATTACTTATTACTTTTCTAAGCCAACCAGGGCTCCTATGGGTTCTTACAAGTTTTTGAATTATAGAATAGACACCGGTTTACAACAGTGTTTATGTTTATATTTATTGCAAAAAAAAAAGTAGTGTACAACCACTGACACAGCACAATATACCAGCATGCATTGTGCTTGTCTGCCATCACCGTAGCTCACAATGAACCTCCACCCATCCCAAAACCAGGCGTCGTCATGATCTCCCCATGGTTACAGAAAGAAACGGAACTTGTTAAATCTCAGTATAAAGATTCCTTGTTGTGTGGCAGTTATTAATCCCTGTCTGTGTCAAGCTTTGCTGGTGTTGTGTCCTGGGGTGAATTGGGCCTCAGAAGTCATTGGAAAGTCATTTGATGGATAAGAAAGCCGGAGCAGATCTTTTGGTTAAATAAAACCTGTGAAGCTTGTTTGTGATTTGTTTAGCTCATTCTCAGCCGTAATTGTGTAAAGAAACATTTTGATGGTTGACGTGATCAGAAAATCAAGAAAAAACTCCCAGTTATTATGTCTGGAATATAAATATCAAAACCCACTTATTCTTTCAAAATGACTCAACGCCATGTCTCCATATGATCTGAGAAATGCCATAAGAGTAATCATACTCCCACAAGGGACAGCGCATTCCTCATTACCACACACGCCAGCAGACAGACTCGCACATTTTCACAAATGATTCAGTCTGATGTGTGAAGTAGATCCATTTACTTCTTCATAAAGCACCGAGCCGTCGGTTGTTTAGCTGCAGTGATTATGTATGAGGGGTTCTGGATCAATAATGGATGTGGTGCATTCTGCAACACTGTCCTGATTGATTCTCACTAAGACCTGGCTTCAGAATGGATGAGGCAGGAGTATTATGGCCACTGATGTGTTTCAGTATGTTCACAGGTTGGAGCATCAGCTATGTTGTTCTCCCGACTTTTACACAGAGGGTTTTATATGAGGTTTTCCATGAATATCTAAATCACATCAATATCAACAACATATAGTTTTTCTTCCCAGCCTGTAGTGCTGGTTGTTCTTGATCTCTCTGTTTTTTATATCACGCTAACAAACGATCAGATATTCAATAAAAGAGGGATAGACACGTGTATTTCCCACAAGAGACTGTTGTTTGCATGTGTGTGCTCTCGCCCTCCTTCTGAGTTCGCACCGTGACTTGTTTTTGTGGCTATTTGTCTGGCAGATTTGACAGCTGTGGGTCAACTCGTGCGGCGCCACGTCCCTGAGGCGGTCTTCTTGGAGAGCATCGGTCAAGAGATCACCTACATACTGCCCTATAGTGGAGCCAGAGATGGGACCTTTGCTCTGCTCTTCAAAGAGCTCGACCTGGCCATGGCTGACCTCGGCCTGACTAGCTATGGTATCTCTGATACCACACTGGAGGAGGTACACCGAGCATGGGAATTCAATGCATAGATACAAGCATAAACACACACATAGTAGCAGAACAAAAAGTTCCATACATACTATGTGCCCTTTTTTCACTTTATTTGGAAAGATGTACATACAAATAAAATCAGTAACTTTAAAATAAAAGGGAAACTATATATAAATAACCCTCCCCACCTGTAAATTATGTTTTAAAAATCATTGTCCAAGCTGCATGAGAAATATTAATTGTTGAAGCCCTGCACATTGTGGAACATCCAAATTCTAACGCAAACTAATTTCAAGTGAGTGATGAAATTGGGATAAACACACTGAACACCACTAGTAGTCAGTATTGACATAAATTCCTCTACAAT